AAAAAAAAAAATTCGTTTATTTCATGTTCTTTAGATAAATCAATAAGATGTTGGTAATAAATGAACTAAACTGAGTGGATTTCTTCTACCTTATGAATAGCATACAGCTCGCGTTATGTGTATTATATTGAATTCAAATGAGGATTTACTATTTTCTGGAAGTTCTGACTAATCAATTAAAGTTTGGAAGGTTGATTTTAATCAAAATAAATTGGCATTTCTGTATTCTTTGGATAAACATAGTAATATAGTTGTGTCTTTAAGTTTAAATTAATCAGAAAAATAACTAGTTTCATGTGCATATGGTTAGAATTAAATAATTATTTGGGAAAGAAGAGAAAAAGATAAATTTGAATTCAAATATTTTGTTAAATAAACAATTAAAAACTATGGGTTGAAAGTTAAGTTCATCAAAGAGAATTAATTTATTTTGATAATTGGTGATATAGATAAACTTTATGTATTTGAATTAAAATAAGGAGTCTATTAAGAAAAATAGGATAAGATAATTCAATTAATTACAAATAATGAAATTTGTGATTAATTTAGTTTTCCAATAATTTATAATAAGGAGAGGAATTTAATATTAGTAAGACATAAGAAATATATATATATCATTAGAGAAATTAAGGATGGGAATTACAAAATTGAAGATTCATTAAATTGTGACACTTACGTAATTTATGGAAATATCACAAATAATGGACAATATTTGGTGTATTGGGATGACAAAAATTAAGCATATTCAACTTATGAATTATTAAATAAATGAATAATATTTAAAAAATTCAATATTTCCATTTTATCAATAAATACTATAAAATAGTCATAATATTTAAATATTGTAAATTTCATTTTTCCGAAATTAAATAATAGACTGATGTCAAATTTGGACATTCAAACACAACAAGCTGGTAAAATTAAGGAAATTTTTACCGATTCCTGTTCAAGTAATTTTGGACCTAATTAATATTTTATTATTTAATCATAGAAAAATTAAGTATCCCTCATCTATTAGTTGATACACTTTATAAAAACCCAATCCTAACATATGAAGATAGTTTTTAAATGAAATCTTAACAAAGAATAATAGGCGATTGTGACTTAAATATTAACTAGTGGTTGTAAATCTTCAAAATTTCAAGAATTTAAATTTGCATTAGAATAAATGATTTTTTGCCTTAATTAAAACATATCATTTTCTATAAATGCCAGCTTTATAGATCGGACAGGACAAGATGCATTTGCAAGATCTATACAAGATTTGTGTAATAGTAAAATGAAGTTGACATCAACATTTATTAAATAAATTATCTTGTATCTTATACATAATTTATGAGGATAAGATAGCTTGATCAGTACAAATCTTATTAATCAAGCTCTAAATTCCTTTTTGAGTGTGTATTTTAGTATAAAAATTAACTGGATTTGATTATAGGACATTTAGGATACTTGTTATATAACTCAAATATTCAATTGCCTTGAATTTATTTATTTTGCATCTTTATAAATTACCTCACCTCTAATTCATTCAGTCATTAAGATTGTAATAATTAAATTAAATTTTAATCAATATCTAGTATTTTCATGGAAACAGATTAAACTTTAATTAAATAACTACTTTACCTTAATTGAATTATTTTATACAGATTGAGAGATTTATTCTTTCAAATCAGCATCCTTTCTATTCTCTAAATATCATTTTATAATCTAAATAAGGGGAATTCAACTATTTAATGTATTAGTTAAATTAGTAAGTGAATAATATAGAAAAAAAAATTTACCTTGATAAAACTCATATGAATATTCTCTTTATCTAATATTAATAATATGAATCTGTTATATCATCATAATAAAACTCAAGAAATTAATTGAATTACTTTTAATTTTTTTTATATTTGATTTCAAATTTAATGTAAAAATGCAACCAACAATTTATTTATTTATTATAAGTTTTAGAATTTTTAATTATCGTTTTGTTAGTTCGGATATATGATAATTCTAAAATGAACATTAATTGATATTAAATTAATTTAAAGCTCTCTACCTTGTTTTTTTTTTCAATATTTTCTGATAATATACATGGTGAAAACATCTCTATCAGAATTAAAATATTATAATTTATTTTTGATCTAGTATTTTATTGAATTACTATCATTTAGTTGTGACTTTTATCTTATTCTAAAAATTTATCCAAATTCTATTAATAATACTGTGTAGAGTACTATGATTTCAAACTAATTTCTAATTTCAAATTTCAAATTAATGTCAGGTAATGGGTTGATTTAGAAATTAGAGGAATGCGATTATGGAATATACTATGCAGCCAAAGGATGAAAGAATTGTTTAATTGAATAAAATTGAGTTTGCATTACAGCACCAAAAGATTCTCCTAGTTAATGCGCATTTTTTCAAAGCTCCAAGCTTCATTAATAATTATCTGAATATGACTTAAAATAAATAATAGATAAAAATTAAATTTAATTAATGAGTATATCCACAAATTACCCCTATCAGAAACCTAAAAAATTTAATTATCAGATATACACAAGAAGTAATAGAAAAGCAACTTAAATATTTAATAGGATGTTGGATGAATGATAATTACTAAAATCTTTACCTCTACTTCCTGCTGCTAAGTTTAAATAATTTCCTATTCTTTATTTTTTAACTCATAATTTATTTAACCTACCATTTTCAGCATCTTTATTGATTTTATATTTAATTACTAATAAATTCAGATCTCAATAAAATCAATGTAAATTATATTTATTTCGATTAAACTTAATACTGCTCTTTGTTGAAATGATATTTTTAAGAACTATTATATCTTTAAAATGATTGTTATCCTAAATAAGAGTGAGAATGTTGATTTTAAACTATTCTTGGATGGCTTAATTTCATAAAATATATTGATATTTACAAACCATAATCTAATTTATTTGTAGATCAATTAGCAACTCCTTTTGAAATGATTATAACAATTCTCAATTTTCTCAAAAAAGGAATAGGGTACCATCTTATTTGTAGTTATTCAATTATTGACCTCAAAAAAATGAAAGTTCTTGCCAATATTAATATTGAATTTCAAGATCCTTTTTTTCAAACTATTTTTTTTAATTTTTGGAGCATCTTTTTTAGATTAGAATTTATATTTTCTTTTATTATATATAGACTTAGATTTCATTAAAAAGTTGACTTATTATGTTGAATATAGTAAATTAAATTTAAGGATGCCTTATATTCATCATAGAAATTTTTTGATAAAGTTGCTATTCATTAATAAGGAAATCTCTCAAATAATTAGGATTTAAGGACTAGATAGTTATCTTTGTTTATCATCTTTATGAACATTAAGTACATTTAACTAGTATAAATGTTTCATTATAATAATGGTAGCAAAATATTTTTATAATCATTTTGTTACTTTGAAATTGATTAGGTTATCAAATCACCTACTTTCTCCATTAAATTTTAATCAGAAAATCAAATCTATAACCCTCCTAAAATACTAACTATAATTGGAACAAGTAAACACTACAAGAGACAAAAATGCAACGAGAGTTCTATTTTAGAGCATAATATTCAATTCTGATTCTAAATAATAGCATCATCATCATTAAAATATCAAATCAAAGGAAAAAGAAATATTGAAATAAAAAATAATGCTACATTTAATAATTCTATCAACATTTCTTCTAGTTTTAGTGTATTTCGTTTGTATCGAAACCAGATAAAATTCAATTATTTTGCAAGGCTAACTTTTACTAATTCTATTATATAATCTTACTTTACTCAAAATATGTGTTCTTGAATAAATCCCTTAATTAGAAAAAAGTTGATTTACTGAAATCATAGTTGTGTTGATAATATAATCATTATTAACTGATATAAATATTATTATTCATAAATCTATGTAATGCAAATAATTCAATATTTTCATCTTTTTTAGATCAACATTTGATCTCAGGGTTTTAGAATCTCATATTAATTAAATTACGTTTAGCAATACTTATACGATATAAATGTATTTTTGAATCTCTATTACATTTATTAGTTTTAACTGTAATGCAAAGAAGCAAGATGATAAATTTAAATCATCTTCAAAAATTCTTCTTATTATTCTATGTTTTATAAACCGGCATATTAAAACGAATATCTTCCATGCAGAAGCTTTGCAATCAATTTATAATGGGACAAAGAAGGCTCATTGAACTAATCAGATAACTTAACCATTGTGAGTATCCTGCTACTATAAAATCCTTTTACTTTGAGATCTAGGGATCCTATACATATGAAATTTCGTTGCAAAAATATAACAAAACAGTAAACATAGAGAATACCTTTATTAGTAAAAAAATAATTACGAGCAAATTTAATGTTTTTGTAGAATAGCCTGCAAAACCTATTCTTAAATTAGCTTTTTATTTGTAATTAAGCATTCGTTTATGAAAGTAGGATTTGAGGTCATTAAATCATTAATTTATGATTTATTTTTGTTTGGATCACTATTGCAAAAGAATTTAAATTTTGAGTCAGCTATTGTTATTGCTATAATTGTATTGATTATTTTTGTAATTTTTCTTCTCTGACTTATTCGTTCTTATAATAAAGTTTATTCATTTTTGCCTTGATAGATTGAACTACCTTTAAGCCTTTAACTAATTATAACATCATCCAAAGTTACAAACTTCTTGTTTACACTCTTGTACCTTGAGATGTTGTGTTAAGTACTAATAACTAAACGAGGATGTCGATTAATGATGCTGCAAATTAATTTAACTCATTAATTAGTTATGAAGAAAAGCTCAATTCCTAGCTGTGACTGTATTTTAGTAGAATTGATGGGACCATGATTTTAAAATGACTATTAAAAAAAAATTTGTGATCAGATACCCATTCTTATTTGAATTACTCATAATATTATTCTCAATTATAAAATTTTAAGGCTCTTTTTTTATATTATCTTAATAATTTTATGTTATATTATTCTTAGTGTTGAGATAAACACCCTTCGATATATCGTTCAATAACTAAATATCATATTTATTAACAATTGCAAAAAAGTTCAGGATCCTTGATGAATGAAAGGGTTTTCTAAAAGTCTCATCAGATATATCACTTATTTTGAAAGTTATATTTTTAGTTGAAAAGGAAAGTAGATAACTTAATGATTAAAAGAGCCTCAACTAGCAAAACACTTTAAAAAGTGTCTCAAATTTTATGAGAAATGATTGAGTAAATAGAAAAATTTTTAGCAGATTAATTTCTGCTATTATAATCATCACACATCTCAAATGTAGAAGTTACTTAACAGCTTCGGTTAAGTATATTTTAGTTATACATTAAAAAGGAGAATTACTTTTTAGTTATTTTGCCAAAATCAACGACAAATAGTAGGACAATCATACACTATAGAAACAATAATCTAATTGAGTGAAATTTCAGTTCTTCTTTTATACTCCCAAGAAGTCCTTTCTAATAAATGTAAGTGAACATGATAATCATGTTAACTCCAACAAGTCAGCACAATTTTGACAAGCATTTACATTTATCACTTCTAAAACTGCCCAAATAGGTGTTAGGACAGAAATTAAAATATTGTGAAATCTATGGAGTAGTTGAAGTTAATGATATTAAATATAATAAGTTTTTAAATAAAATCAAATTGCAAAATGCTTTGCAACCAGTATTGATGTCAATTTAGTGTATCTAGTATCATAATAGATTATAATTTAGCTGGAATATCCTCTAATAACCCAGAAAAGCTAAATATTGTAGAAGTAATGCATAAAATAATCATTCAATTAAACTTAGGGTTTGAAAAAAGGAAGCAACTTTAATAGCAATATTTAGTTGCATGGAAAGCAATATAGAAAACTTAAACTAACCTAAGGTTAGTTACTGAGATCAAAAAAAATTTTCAATTGCAAGAAACCTGCTTACTCTTCACAACCAAACTGAATATCAATTTTATACTTAATTTAAGTATTAATATATAATTACAATTAATAGTACAATAATACGGACAAAGTTTAAATCTAATAAGCAAAAGGATAGTAGAATAAAATGAAAAAATATTAATTAATTTGTTTTAGAAATGAATTTATTAAAAACTTTAGTATATGTGTAGGTTCATTGTCGCCCCTACTATGCATTCAAACAATTAAGATATGTAGATGCTGAAAATATGCAATCATTATTCACAATTGAAACTATTTTCCTTAAAACTAGGAATAACAAAATTTACATCAAGGCATCATAATTTTGATGATTTAATGTAGGAGACATTTTTTATAGAGTTGAGATATATTTATTAATAATAGGATAATTAACAAATTAAAAAAATAAGCATTAAAACTCAGAGTAATTATATTATCATTAAAAAAATTGTTTTATTTTATGAGAAGATTATAGCGTACTTAAGACAAATATTTTAACTAAAAATCTTCAAGTACCAAGAAAATAATAGTTTTACCCAAATCAAATTACATAAATTTTATCCAAAAAGGTTAAAAAATTTAAGAACTCTGGTCTCTAAAGTGATTTCAAATAAATATCATCAATCAAAATCAAGAATTCAATTTTCTATTTTGAAAAGGAATTTAAACCCTAAGATATGAAATTTAAGGGTAAATTCAAACTGACATGAAAAAATCTAACTTAATATCTTTGAAAAGAACTTAATTGGTCCTCATAATTAAAAAATACATATGATGAGGAAATAATTTTGAATATTGTGGTAAAAAAATTACTTTGTTAAATTATATTTTCTTACCTAATATAATATTAAAAACAATACTGTAATTTTCCTTAATAGAAACTTAAACATACCAAGCCTATCAAGACTAAATGTGTGATTCCTCAATAGAAAGCGCTTAATGTATAATTTTCTCAGACTTATCATACTGCTTCATCAATCTTTAATCAAACTTAATTATAAGTAAATTTTTACTCATTATCCTACTAATATAAACTGATGAAATCTACCTTTATCACTTCAAGATTTAAAATGTTGTAGATAAATATGGCACTGCACATTTACATGAGATGAAATTAGCTATGCAATGTGTTTTCATCTTAAAAAGCATCATTATTGGATTTTAATCTGTTTTAATCAAAGAGTTATAAATTAATGTGAATGAATATTCAAAGCTGTACCTCTGAATTTTTGTGTGTTACATTCAAGCTAGATTAGTCTCATAATTCTGTTGGAGGCAAGGCTCATCTAATCAGTCATACTTTTTTGAGTTTCTTTAAGACTATATGTCTACAGTATGGAGAAATTTTTTCCATCTTCTAGATCCAGTTGCCAGAGAGGCCTTTAAGATGTTCTTAGATATGATTGATATTCATGCCGCATCCTTGCTTTTAAACTTCAGCCAGTCGAAATTCCAGAGGTTGAAGTAAGCATATACAGGGATACGTCTAATAATTGAGTGTTGACCCTGATAAGGATTTTTGATTTTTTATCTAGATCGTGATTCTTTTACTTGATGTCAACTTTTTCTTCTTGATCTAATTTATTCTTCCTAGTTTCGTGCTCCTTAATCTTCAGTTCCATTAATTTTTTTTGTTAGTGAACTTGTTAGCAGCAATCACAGAATCATCAGTATAAGCAAGAACTATGATTTCGTCATTGTATTTTATTCTTTCTAGTATGTTTCCTACCGAACTTATATTTGAATTTCTTTATTTTATGATTGAAAGTTCAGATTTCAAAAATATGTCAAACAATAAGGGCTTAGTACTTATCCTATGGCAAATTGATGTTAAATCTTATTCTTCCTTAGTCACAGATCAAAATAGGTGTTTCATATAGGTTGAATAAAACTTTCGACATTTCTCATCGACAACATCAATGGTCTTTTAATCCATCCACATTATTATAAGCCTTAGAGAGATAGAAAAGGTCACATTTTTATTACTTTTCTTCAATTCAATTCAAAAAGTAACATAGCCATTTGAATCTAGTTTTCTAAGTGTTAATTGATTCGAAATCCTCTCCACCAGGATCTCCTTGAATCTGAACGTATATTCCATTCTATAAAATTTGACCAGGTGACTCTAAACGATTATTGGTTTCATTTCACCAGTAGTGGCGATATTAGATGCTTTCATTTTTATTAGGATCTATCTCTGAGCCTAAGAGAATTACTTCTATTATTTTCACTTTTCTTTGTCGAATAGGTCAATATAATCATATTGTGTCTGCATAACTAGTTTAATTTTTGTATTGTGAGTCAATTCATATGAGATTGTTTATTATACTGTTAGAGATATTAGTCACCTCTCTCTCTAGGATTGAGTCGAGTCTATGTCATAAAGTCAATCCATTGAGTTTACTGCACAACTTGTGTAACAACATATTTTGTAAGATCTAAATCTCAACTGGGAAATTATGCCTATAATAAAAAGTTATTCCGCACTATTTAAACTGATTTATGGAAAGAAAACGAAAATAATTATATAATTTTCATGAAAATTTAAATCAAATATTTCAAATTCAGTAAGATTCCGAGATTCTTATCCATATAAATGAGATGATCTCTTATCCTCATATTTATCCCATAAATATGCGCTTTCCAATTGAGAATATCCTCTTTGAAAATCAGACTATATCGTGCTAACCATTATCATTAGAACCAAAACAAGGTCCATAGCTCTAACCACACCATATAGCATATTATTTTTTATCTTATTTCAAAAGATAGATTTAATTATGAGTCCATGAGAATAAAAAAGATGATAATGTATCATCTTAAACAAATCCTTTACTT